TAGTGCTAAATATTTGTCTTTAAGCAAAAATTTTTTGATGAAAACTATTGTTTTAATTGCTTTGACATTTTAAATGTCATTCCTTTGACATTCCTCAAGCATTTTGTAAAACTGGGGTGGACAAATCCATCTAGTTTTTCCTTTTAATTTTTTTAGCAAAGAAAAATTGGTGTTTAGATGGGAAGAATAATAGTATAAAAAATATTATTAAAAGGTTTCTCAAAAATGGTAATCGATTGGATTCTTCAAAGTCGGAATGAGTTTGCGACATTTCGGTGGGTGTGCAGTCAGAAAGTGTCCCTTTTTCTGTAAATGGTGTCTTCTGATTCATAATTGATTTCAGTGACTAGTAATAGCAATTAGAAAGGGATTTATTTTACTTTTTTTATCGAGATTGGTCAATATTAGTGGCTATGAGACTTGTGGTAAAACCCAAGATGCAAAAATATTTGACTCTCAAGTGTTTACCATTGCTATTTTGCATGCATATAATTAGCAATTTTCAGAAATGTAATGCGCATTTTATTTGTCGAATACAGCTAATTAAATGCATGTAAATTATTTGTATGTAATCTATTTGGCTGATATGGTATACAATTTTCATTATCAGCTTCTCATTAACAGAGGAAGATTATATCTCATTTACAAGCTTTAATTTATAATAAGACATAATAGTTAAAGCTAGACTCTATAAAATAAATCGCCTAATTTTCGAAGAGCAGGGTAAAAAGAATTAGATATCTAAATAAGCATGTATGCCTACTGATTATGATACTGAATTCAAATACTCTTACAATTCTGACAGTGTAATTTGAGAATTACCCTGTAAATTACAGCATTCTAACCATTAGAAGCATGTTAAAATACGTCTGCAATCCCCCGATGTATTTTGTGCATGGTGCCTTCAGCAGTTATGTGTTGTTCGCAACTGAGAACCTTTATCGTAGTTGAATACACTGTATTATGTTATTAATCTTTAATAATGTCATTTTGAAATTTCAAGTTTCTTACGACTTCCTGGTACTTTTTACCTTTAATTATGGCATTCAATAAATTTATTATTTCATGTCTTGTTACAGAAAATGATGCATATTTTAACCTTGCATGATATTTTTATGAATTTTCCAAATTTTAATATATTATATATATAACTTTTTTAAGATACTCATTTATAAAATACGTCATATTTAAACCTTCATCTATCTTGTCAATTTTGTTTTAAAACTATATTATTAATATATTTTATTTGTAATATTTGTGTCTTAAATTTGCAAACACAAGTTTTTCAAATGTCATTAAACAGTAATGAGAATTATTAGCGATGTTTATGTATATATACATATATATATGTAATGATTTCAAATGCGTAGATGAAAGCAGTGGACCTCCCAACAGCTTACGACCACTGCGTAGATGACCGAGAAGACCGTAATGGCTTGATTGGGAATTCAGATGTATAGTTACCTTTTTTTATTTTATCCATTCGTTAAACGATGTGAGATTAGTTGAAATAAACTGCACTGAAATTCCACGCCTGTAGGGTCGAAAATCATCTGCGCCATATTATTGAAATGAAACCATGGTTTGAAGGTGGCAGAGTGGAAAGCATGATGACGCAATTTAGCACAACATATCTTGAAAAATCACAATCTTTATTTTTTTCCATGCATATCAAATAATCCTTTTCAGACAAGATATTTCTTAATAATATTTGAATAGAATAACTCCCATTTTGAAGTACGACGTCATCTTAAGCAAGTAAGCGGCAGCAGCATGGATTAAAAGCATCTTACCAGCGGGAGAGCTAACGCAGGAAAAGGGAAAGGTTATAGCACTTTCATAGCAAGAAGGCTGAACTTTCAGTTCACAGTTTTGGTTTAGAATTAATTTGATTAGACGAGAGGCATCTGCATTAAAACGTTACATAAGATAGGAAAGTCTGGAACCTGTGAGAAGGGATGAATTTAGGGGCAGATTACAAATTTAGAATGTTAATTTTGAGGTCGTCAATTATTTTTTTGAAACAGCTATCATATTTTGTTGTATCTTACATATCCCCCACTTCAAAAGAAATGTTGGGTGAGCAGGGTGGAAGAACAAGCATTAGAGCAGCAAAATGTGAAAAGTTATAACTGTGAAAATACAAAACATATTTACTGTTTTTTAAAAAAACAAAAAATTATTGCCATAAAACTTTGAACGATATTTTGACATTTCATTGAAAGTCATAAAATTTTGAATTGAATTATGAATCTTAGCACTGTATTATTTTTAAACAATAGCATATTTTAGAGTTCTGAGATAAGAATATCTAATGAAATTTTGTAAAGTTCTTGATAGTTCCACATGGTAAAAGTTCAAATTTTTTCACAAACTAAATGTTCAAATAAAATTCTTTCAAATTTTTGTTGATGAAAATATTTCTATTATATTACAAATTAAGATGCTTTTATGTTATTTATTCATGTTTTTTAGGCAAGGTATTTTAAAATATAAAAAGTTTGTAACACATCATTCATAAACACAATTTCAAATTTTTCACTATTATTAAGACATTTAAAATTTACTTATTCTTTAGAAAACTTGAAGACTCCACAACTTTATCTAAATACTAGCATTTCCATCATATTGGTTTATCAGTTGAGCAAACTGGTGTTTAATATTCTTCACCAGTGGCCAAAACATTTGCCAAATTAGCAGTTACTGTAGAAAAGGCCTCCATTCCTTCTGTAGAGGCAACTGGCCTTTTCGAACTGCTGTGATTTCCATATGTAAAAATTAAAAACACACTCCATTTTATGAAAAAAATACAAAATACTTAGATTAAAAAAAGGTATTTTTTCATAAGGTGAGAGTCCTTCAACATTAAATTCATTGAAAACATCAAAGAAATACCTACAACTCAAAAATTTCAAACAATAATTTCATTCTTAACATACAGTAAAAATTAAAAAATATAAATTCAAAGAAACTTAAACAATAGTACAAAATTCTTATTCAGGATTAGGAAGCCTTCCCTTAAGTCAAACCCTCAAATTCTTTACCTAATTTTTATCAAATTCAATAATTTCTTTTTCCCAATTCAGAAATACAAAACTACATTTTAAATAAATCATAATATTTTTGGAGCCCACCAGCGGCCGAGCGGTAAAGACGCTGAACACTGGTAGTTCGGTCCGAGGTTCGAATCCCGCGAACGGGCTGGCTGCATGGGCGTTTTCGTGGTTTTCCCCATGTGTGACGTGTATACGAGCCAGTTTCCCTTAGAAAGTCCTCCACGAAAGGCATCCCTCCTCTTAGGCAGATAGCCCTAGTGTGCTTTGCCATAATTAAATACACCACACCAACACCAACATAATATTTTTGAATTATTAACATTGATTTTAAAATGACTTAAGCTAAACTTTATCATTAATAAATCTTAAAACAATTACTTAAAAATGCAAATTTTTTTTTTTCTTTTCCGAAACGAAATAAACTCAATTTGGAATTTAATATCACTTCACAATCACATTTCATGACTTTTGATAATATTGCATTTTTTGAATATGAAGAATTAGCAGAATAAAGCACTGAACATGCAAGAGAGCACAAAATACTATTTGGCATTTCATATTTCACTGATGAGGTTGATGACCTTCAAAGGACTTTGGATGTTTAATTTTCTTTCTACGCGATGATCGGAGATGCATAAACATTGTGAATATTCGAAGCGAGCAAAAACGATTAACCATATTTCACTACATTGGCGACACTGACCTTGATTCGAAACAGTTTTGATTTTGAACTTGCAGATATTCGATGATTTCAAAGCACTTTTAAAATATGCCGTTAATTCACACACCGGAAATGAATTTGATGATTCACTGGTAGTTTGAGGCAGCAGAGTTTAAAAACCATTCGGGAAAACTTGCACCAGGTTAATCCTGTCCTGACTTTTTATAAATATGTAATGATTTCAAATGCGTAGATGGAAGCAGTGGACCTCCCGACAGCTTACGCTACTGCGTAGATGACTGAGAAGACTGTAATGGCTTGATTGGGAATTCAGATGTATAGTTTACCTTTCATTTTTTATCCATTCGTTAAACGATGTGAGATTAGTTGAAATAAACTGCACTGAAGTTCCACGTCTGTAGGGTTGAAAATCGTCTGCGCCATATTATTGTAATGGAACTGTGGTTTGAAGGTGGCAGAGTGGAAAGCATGATGACGCAATTTAGCACAACATATCTTGAAAAATCACAATCTTTATTTTTTTCCATGCATATCAAATAATCCTTTTCGGACAAGATATTTCTTAATAATATTTGAATAGAATAACTCCCATTTTGAAGTACGACGTCATCTTAAGCAAGTAAGCGGCAGCAGCATGGATTAAAAGCGTCTTACCAGCGGGAGAGCTAACGCAGGAAAAAGGGAAAGGTTATAGCACTTTCATAGCAAGAAGGCTGAACTTTCAGTTCACAGTTTTGGTTTAGAATTAATTTGATTGGACGAGAGGCATCTGCATTAAAACGTTACATAAGATAGAAAAGTCTGGAACCTGTGAGCAGGGATGAATTTAGGGGCAGATTACCAAATTTAGAATGTTAATTTTGAGGTCGTCAATTATTTTTTTCAAACAGCTATCATATTTTGTTATATCTTACATTGTATTCTATTGTATTCTTCATATGTATTCCAGTTTAATATATATATTCCAGATATATTTTCTAAAATACTTCTCAAAATTTCCTTTTCTGTCTTATCATATAAAAAAAGATAATAAATGAAACATGGGAAAGCCTGCTTGATATGAGAGGTTCTGATAAATGTAATTAACTAAAAACTAATTTCTCCTAGAATATAGAATAATGAATATGTGTATTCTGATTGAAAACAATGCTTAGATATTCTTTACATTAAGTTCTTGACAAAATTGATAACGCCTTTTTTTTAATATATATATATTGTATTAACTGTGGCAGCAGTATGTAAGAATTTGTTTAATTTTTCAGGTTGAGAAATCACTGCAAAGGATTCACAGAGGGCATAAGAATGCTATGTATACTACTCAAAAAAGTATTGAAAACAAAGTGGGACCTGTAAATGGTTGGAAAGAATTGCTAATATCTGTTGGCTTTCGCTTTGAACCTGCATCAAATGGTTTGCCTGCATCAGTCTTTTTTCCTCAGTCAGATCCTGGTGAAAGACTGACTCAGTGTAGTGCTAGTTTACAAGCTCTGTTAGGTAAAAGAATTTTAAACAGTTTTTAAATATTTTAGTTTTAAGTAAATCATTTTATGGATGTCATTGAGATGTTATTCACATAGAAAGATAATTAAATGCTATATAACTTTTATTTTTTAAATTATTTTAGTATGATAAATGATAAGTTATAGATTGTTAAAAAATGTTACACATAAGTTACTATATTCAGATTTTTCATATTTTAGTTATTCTCTCACTGACATTTTCCATTTAATGACATGCTAGAGCTCTAAAATTTAAAAATTAAATTTTGATAATTTCATTTACATTTGTATATATTTTATAAAGCATAATTTCCTAAACATTCTATACTTGTTCAAGAGTTCAAAAGTATATTTACTTCTTAATTTAGAATTCTGAATGCTGCAATCGTTGTTTTTCATATTTTAATTCAAGATTAACTCACCATATAGTGAAGAAGTCATTGCCCTGTATTTTAGCACTATTATATACCTGAATTTTTACCATTATAGTATATTTAGTTTCACTTATCTTGAGAGTAAGGCCACTGAACTTCCAAATACATGCCAAACGCCAGCAGTTGTAATTTTATGCTGCAGTTCACAAACACACGATGTTATAATCTTCTTTTAGTAACTTATATACTTGTCTCGGTGATCATCATCAAGTGTCGGGAATGAAAATGATTATTGTAAAACCGTATGTGTATTCCCAGCTTACTTATCACCCTCACACTTTTCTTTGTTCACAACTTGTTTCGTGACTGTAAATATCTAGACTGGAGATCACAGTTATCCAGTGGTCAGAAAGTATTTAATTTGTCTTCGCTTGTTTCTATATATCCTCACATCTACATTAAATTCACATCTGTTTTACTTTTATCATGCTTCCTATTCTCATCAGTGCCTGCATATTTCATATTACACTACTAACCGTCCAAAATACAACATTGTGAAAAAAAGTGCTATCCAAGTTATATTTACTGCATAAATAATATAAGGTGCAAGTATGATTGATTCGAATTCCAGCCTCATTCTACTTTGTAGAATACCCAGAATTCAGTATTTTGTATAGCATATGCCTAGTGCATAGAGTCAACAATACTTGCAATAATGAACATTTTACAAAGATCCCCTTCTGTAGACAGCAGCAGTTGGTATCAGCTGAGATAGACTGCTGTGTACCTTAATTCTTGCATTAGACTTTTGTTATTGCTGTGAGATTTGTCATTTCTATTCACACAACCTATGTGTCTTCTCATTCAGTGTTGTGATGAAGCTGGTGTAACCATTCCTATTGTTTGTTCCATTTTTCTTGAAGTTACCAATTTCATATAATTTCATATTCACATCATTATAATTTGATTTTGTCCATCCTGAAAACTCATTTTTTGAAAGAAAAATTCGGAGTCTCCCAAATCCACAGTTCTTTCTCTATTATTCTCCAAGGAAACTGCTCAAATTACTGCCCCCCTTTCTCCGCCTCCAAAAGGAATGCTGAAGCATCCCACACAAAGGAACAACAGGAAAACACAGTTCAGTACTTAAAACAGGCTATTACATGATTGCTTTAAGGGGGGGGAAACAGGGTATTTATTATGCTTCCTCTTTTATAGTGTTTCTGGTGTGGCATTACTGGTGCACTTGCTTTGCATTATTCACTACAGTGATAATTATTTCCATGGCTTGTGTGTAAGTGCAAATTTCAAGCTTATTGAATGCTTCATTTTGCATTTTGAGTGGCCAACAGTGTAATGTTTTTCAGTACTTTGTTGTGAAAAACGTAATTTTTATCATTTTATTGCAGTATTTTATATAATGATGTGGTGTGGATTTTTTTAATTATATTTCACTGTTATTTAATGTTGATAACATCTTATAATACATAATTTACCATTGGACAAATTCTAAAAAATTCTACAGCACCAGTGTATCATATCTTTTAGAATTGTCACTAATATTAAGTTATGACTCAAAACATTCTAAATTATGCATTTCACGCGTTCACATTACTTATTTTCTGTACTTGTTTCATGTTCAGGCAAGTAGCACATGTATATGAAAGCTAAATGATTGTGTTCATTGATGTATGGACTGTTGCAAGTTCAAATGCTGTGTCATTTTGTGCAAAGATCTCCATTCTTATATTCATCAGTTATACTCCAGATAATGTCAATATGAGAGACTGACAGCATGAATATTGTTTTTTAATTGAAATGCAGTGATTGTATAATTTATTCCTTTGTTCATAATTTATGTGTTCAATCAAGAGTGTACTACCTCAAGTATAGTTTAATACTTAACCGAGATTTACTTATGCTAATTTTTTTAATTAATTAGATTTTTAATTTTGCTAGTAAAGACAATACTTTGATTTCAAATCTTTTCTTTCATTCATTATTAAAGGTAAAATTTCTTTATACTCAATTTTTTAATTGCTTAAAAGTATGAAGAATAAAATCTATTTTTGTTAATTTATTTATTTTTTACAATTTTCTTTGATTATAATGTCATGATAAATAGATCAAAGTAATTGTATGAAGAGTTATGGAAACAAAAGAAAAAGACATTCCATCTTCTATATTGAAAAAAACATTCTCACGTAGCTTCATCATAGTATAGCCAATCTACTAATGTATTTTCATGGTTATCCAGTTTTAGCAACTTTCATATGCTCTCATATGCAGCAAATTTTGCTGAAGGGCAAACTCCAAAACATAAGTATGGATTGATGCTCTCTGTCCTCATATTTTCAGAACTTTTTTAACTGTGGTTGCACATAAGGAAATTATCATGATTTAAGGCTGGTAACAAGAATTAGGTGTTTTGAAACATACTGTATTACCTTATTACAGTAACTTTATTACTGTATTTAAACAGTAACTTTATTACTGTTACTTAATGAATAATTTCTGAAGAAATTGTAGCATAGCTTACACACACACTAATGCCTTGAATAAGTGCTAAAAGTCCTTTCAGTTTCTTGAAAAGTGAAAATTTGAATTCAGTTCCCTTTTCTCAGTAAATAAATAATAGTTTTAAACTGTTTTAGATAAGAACCTTTTAGAAAACTTGTTACCATTTCACTTGTGTATAAGATAGTACTATATATATAGCTATGCATTGAACATTAAGACTTATACCTGTATTCAGCCTTTTCAGTGAAGCAGGTTGTCTGCATGGTAGTGCTTAAATTACACCGGAGCCTGGCTCTGGTGCTTCTGAATTTTTAAGATAAATTACAATTTTAGTCGAAGCGCACCGGAGACCTAAATAAGATGAGCTCCGGTATTTCTTTTTATAAAACTCAATCACAATTTAAATGGAAAATATTTAGAATTCCTAACGTTTTAATTTAACTATAAGCAGACTTTGCAATACTCTATTTTCCTAGAAATACGAACTCATGAGAACATGAGACGTTCAAGTAAAGTCCGCTCGCTGACATGCGGAAACCTTTCCCTTTAAGAAGGGCAGTAAATTTGGGGAGTTTGTTTAGGAAAGCATACATTTCTCGCCATGCCATCATATCTAGTGTACTGTTATCAATGCTTACAGTTAGTTATCCTTGCAGGAAGGAAAATTTGTGTTCTTAAATATGCGTTAAGTGACAGCGAGTACAATAACAGTGAAAATACTGAGATAAACTGCTCAAGCACGTCCTATACATCGTCTTCCCACAGCACCCACTAATGGAGGGGAAGCGTGACCAGCAACTTTACATTCATCCTTAGGAGTCAAATTCAGGACTCATTTTATCCCTGACATACATCTGCTTATTGGCTATAATTATATCAGCAGAGAGCCGCGGTGAAAGAAAACATTCTCTCTCACCAAGATTCCCCTCATTTTTTGTTTCCACCCACCCATAGCCTCATTCTGTTTTGCCCCGGAATTTTCATCAGCTATATTTTAAGTATATTTAACTTTTGTGATGATAAAACAACTCTCCCTTCCCCCCCCCCTGCGATCAGAGCTTAAATTGCTCCAGCCAAGCTTCTTTTGGAAATCGCACCGGAGCCTTAGTTTTGAATAAGAATTCTAGGCTACGGAGCTAAATAAGAAGGTTGCGGCGCTTCTTTTATGTAATTGAATAACAATTTCAGTAGAAATTTTATCTCAAAAATTTTATTTTAACAATAAAATTAATATTAAAAATCGCACATTAAATTTCAATTTATCTCTTTACTTTTTATTTAATTTTAATTATTTAATTACTTCAATCTTTAATTATTTCAATAAATAATAATTAATTATCTAATAATTATTAATTAAATAATAATTAACTATTTAATTTAAAAATTATTGATGAGTTTAATAGTCATTTTATTTATTTATTTACTCTTGTTCCTCTTTGCTGACGGTCTTCCATAGGGCTCAGGCACATCTCATTTTAGAAATGAAGCCCTGCTGCATGGTTATATTTGGACTTTTTTTTCTTTTGTATAATAGAAATATGAACTTATTTCCCTAGAAATTCGTTCTCGTATATGAAGAGTTTCAGATTGCTTTATCATAATTAACTTCTGTGGCCAAACATTGAATGTACTGTTTGTTATAGTATTACATGTATTCATAAATTTGAGAATAACTTTCAAATCTGTAGCAGAGCTTTTGTAGTATATATGAAAATTAGAAGCTCAATTTTATTAATAAAATTAAAATATTCATATTTCACAAATTTTTTCCCTTCATAAAGGTCTATCTTCAGTATCTCTGAATGCAATTACAAAACTTCTTTCTAGTCCTGAATATGCAGATGATATTATTCAACTGGTAAGTGATGAAGGTTTATTGTTTTTATTTAAGCCTATTGAAATTTCCCTTAATCTTTTCTTGGAAAACATTTAGCTTTTATATAATAACAAGCAACTAATATTTATATATCAAGTAAAGAAATTTATTTACCAATTTTAAAAAAATATATTCCAGTATAATTGTATGAAGTACTTTTTTAATATATTTATTCAGTATATGGTGGAACCTGTGTGTCTGACCATATATTTTTGTGAAAGAAGATACATTTACTTACATTGATTTATACTAATACTAAACTAACTTTCTTTAAATTAAAAAGTATGTTATTATTCATTATTAATTTTCCTATTAGTTCAGTTAACATTAATGTCACTTGCAGCAAATTTTCTGATTTATTTTCTGATTGATCTGATAGTTTCTTTTCCTCTCATGACAAAAGTACTTTCAAAACTAATTCAGACTTTCCCTTATTCTACTATTCAAATTTCAGAAAATTAGCAAGAGTTAGTATAAAACTTGAGCAAGTATAAAAGATGCTTCACCAAGAAGCAAAATTCTAAGAGCTCTTAAAGTTTAGAAGCATGTGTTATTTTGTGCAAAGAAGAATGAACTGCAGCTATACGTTTTCATTAATTCACTTATATTTGGAATTCTGAAAAGGCTTATAGTATACCTAAGTCTTCTTGATGGTATCCATCTTCATAGACTTTAAATGTGTTATTGCACTGAAGGAAAAAATTACCACAATTTTGCAATGGATAAATTTTACTCTAAGCAATATTTACTTGTTAGAAGTAATGTATCATCCCTCAACTATTGTTTACTAAAATAAATAATATTCAAGGATATGTATATATAATACTGTAGCTTAATATCTTTCTCTCTTTATATATATATGTTTATTGAAGAGATTAAAATGGAGCATTTTAAGTGCTATCTGTTGTTAAAAAGTAATAAATAAATAAAACAAATTTTGTGAAAGTATGAAAATATTAAAGGTGTGTGTATTAAATAAAATATATAAACCATAGGTAAATGGGATTCTTGTTCATCTTTAAAAATGAATATATAGTTGCTAATTTTCTTTTCTTTAAATAAAGAAGTAAAAGTTTTAACTAATAATACTTAAATTAAAATATAGTCATAAGAATTAGTCACCGAAGTAACGTTTCAGGCAGTAATTTGTGCAGTGTTCTGTACTTGTATGTGTATTTATTAGTCTTTAGAACTATCAAATACATTTATAAATATCCAAATCTGAAAATAAAAAGGTTACATTTAATAAGTAAAACATCAATAGAATCTTTAGGACTTTTAAATATTTGTGCATTTTAAGAATACTATTTTGTAAAATGTATTTAGCTCATACAAATGAAAATTCTTCACACCATTTAATACGTTATTTTCTCTTTAAAAAAAGGTGTAAGATATAATTAAATACATATTATATTTAATTTTATATTATGCAGTGAAATAATATATATAAAATATTGAGCAAAAATATCTTTTCTTTTCACCATGCATTTTCACTGTTAAAATGCAATAACTAAGAAAGAAATATAAATGTATTATCTAGATCCGTCAAGTTATGTCTCAGTTTCTCCACAAGGATCAGGATGCCGACAACATTGAGTGTTCAGTTAGCGTTAGATTATGGAGTATACCTGGTTGTCATGAATTGTTAGCTTCTTTAGGTATTAAATCTTACTTTACTTTAAAATAACATAATATATATGAAAAGTAATGAACTTTTTTAAAAATGCATCTTAAAAATATGACATTGCATATTATTTCTAGGATTTGATTTAATGGAAGTTGGGCGTGATGAGGTCATGCTTCGTATGGGAAAACAAGCCAACAGGAGGACTATTCAGTTTGCCTTGCAAGCATTACTTGCAGTTTTTGGTAAAGTTTATATTATAATATTGTAGTAATAATATATCCTGTGTTTTATGTTTTGCGAATGGTAGTATTTATTATTAGATTAATATTCTTTATTTATACAAGAATTAAAATCTTAAAATAGGACAATGGCATATCAAAAATACTTTTCCTTCATGAGAAACATCTCTGTCAATTTATACTTTTAACAACGAAATATTTATTACATATAAGAGTAGAAATATCCACTGTTATAGATCTTGCATAATTGTCATTGATTTACCCTCTGTAGCTGAATTATGGGCATGGAAAATGCTAAGTTTGAAACATAAGTATTCTCCACGAATGAGCAAAGTGTATGATTGTGCTGATTTTAAGACTGATGTATCACATGAGCTTCAGAAGTTATGCTGATACTACAATCAATTAATTGAGGCAATTGAAACTATGCTGATGTCACATGTTATGTGAGCTATGTCAGCCTTTATGTACTACTTGCTGAAGCTGTAAACACATGTACGGTTTTCTGTTTATTTTTATTAAAAACTGATGTAATAAATACATTTATATAGCTTTCAAAGAAGCATTTTTTAATAAAAAGTTATAATGGAGATTGGCCATATTTACTTATTTGAGAATTTTCATAAAATCATGTTCTCTGTGCAACTGTAATTTTTCAGTCACTCATGGCAGTCATGACATTTGCAGGTGGCATATACAATCTAATAAATGCCAGACTGCATGGAAATAAAATCTGTTTCATAAAAAAATATTTATAATTCTGTTATATATGCAGAGCTTTTATTCTATAATTTCTGGTGAAGCACAATGGAATATAATGTCCAAAATTCAGACATCTAATATCCAGAATGACATAAAACATGTGAAGAGTTCAAATTTTCAATTTTGCTTTAATACTTAATAAAACACCTTCATTTTGAAGAAACAGTCATCTATTAGCATAAATCTGCATGATTAATAATTTATGTATGAATACTAAAATGCATGGTAATCTTTTGTATTGACATTAAGCTTGGCGATGATTACAGACTTTGCTGATTGCACGCCAAAGTGTGAGTGTGTTGACATGAAGAAATTTAACAGATTTTTTTTTTCCCTCATAGGCAAAAAATAGATTTTTTAAATGATACTCCTAAGCCAAAGCCAAAAGATTACTTTTAGTGCTGTTTGAAATGAGAATAACTGATTTGCTATTCAAATAAGCCAAGGACCAGCGCTAGAGCTTTTGTTGCTGCACTGAGCATCAGAATTTAGCAGATACAAAATTTTTAAAGTTATTCACTAACATGCTAAATGCATTTCTTGTGCATAAAGTGAAATCATTTACTTACAACATTCTTTACCACCAGAAGTTCAGCTGTAAAGAGCGAGTTGTTGCATGATTTTCTGCGGATCTTGTTAGGGACAGTAATATGAGAAAAGTAATTCCTGTAATCGTACTATGAGAAGAATTGAAATCTATTAAATAATATGCATTGAAATTGGTTGTATCACATATACTAAATTCTCTTGTTACAAATTTAAAGCCCTTCTCCCTGCTCACTTTAGCACTCGGATTCCCCATACCTACATTTTCATCATATCTTGGGCAACTATGGTATTAATTTGCTAAATTATCATAAAAAGTTTCCTTTTCTTCATCTATCTTAACTTATGTTGGAGATAAGCAAATTTAATGCTAAAATTAAAGAACTCTCTCTGAATTCTAATTTTATATGCTCTTGAAGAGACTGCTTCAAAATCCAAACCCAGATGTCATATTCTTTTGCTTACAATAAAACCTATACCCTCAATATGTTTTTTAGGATGAAAAGGTCCAACTGTTTCAGCAGTAAATGCAAAGCCTTGTTTATATAAAGACAGCACTGTAACATACTAGAATTCTTAAGAACCACTGAATAACCATTAATTTGTCATGATACTTATAATCTAATAATAGTTTAAGTTAAATGGTTTAATATAGCTGAGTTATTTAACAGCATTCATAATTTGGGTAATATTTTGAAAGTTTGAAAAAAATGCTGAAAGTTAAAAAGTGGGAAGGAAAATTTCTATTAAACTTATATTTATTAACTAATAGTTAGTAAAAAAACTAAATTTCTCTAACATAAATCTTGGAGAAAAGGAGTCTGGCTTTGTTTATTACAATTTTTTTTAATGGAATTAATTATAATTAATGTAATGATATTAAATAAATATTTAAATTTTATTTAGATACTCAAGAAGCTGCAAAAAGCTTGACTTTAGAAGATTCAAGTTCCCTTGAAAGCTTGGATAGTGTGCCTAGTGATACCAGAACTGTTTCTCCCCCACCTGCAGCCACAACAACTTTGGCATACCCTACATGGCGTCCTGTCATTGGTAACCAAGTCCTTGGCAGGAGTAGTACAGGGGCATTTAGTACATATGCTCGTACTCGTGGAGAACCAGATGGCCGTACTGCAACTATTGGAAGTGATCAAAAAGGCAGAGAAAGTGACACATTTACTCCAAGTCCTGTAGACACTATGAAACCTTATGGAAATAATCAAACACAGAAACAGTCTCCACAACCAAGTCCTCATTTAGCTATTAATCTTTCTCACCAAAGCAAAATTCGATGTATGTATAATGATAGTCCAGCCAGTGATAATAATGGCACTCGTCCTGACAGTTCTTCATCTGCAAGTTCTGCCACTGATTGGGATTCAGGACAGTCCACTGTCAGAAGGCAAATCACAGCACGAGAGGTAGAACCTGTTCCAGTTAAAGATCACTCAAGTTTACATTCGTATTCTGGTCTTAAGAAAAGTGTATGTAATAATCCATTAAGTGTAAATCATTCAAAGCATTCCTCTGTTAACTCTTTAAATGGTGATAATGAGATATCAGAATCTCATGACAATTCAGAGTTTGACTTTTCAAGCAATAATTCTGATGTGGGAAATTTCTCGACACAAGTGCCTAACTTCAATCTTGCAGCATCGAGTGTTAAGAGTGAAATGAAGAGAAAATCTTGTATGTTTTCTACTGTTGTAAATAAAACTATAAGTAAAGACTTCTGCAGGAAGGGTGGATCTAAAGCTGATCAGGAAAGACATTATTATAAAAGAGCTAATACACTTAGCCATATGGTAGAAACAAAGGCCCAAATCCATCAGTCAGATACAACAAATGAAACTTTTCAAGCTAGTAGTGAAACTGGAATTTATGCTCCTTGTCTTGAGGGAAAAACACAAGAAAATATTGACATTCTTGAAATATGTGTGCCATCTACTGTAGGTTGTAATGCTCGTGAAAAATCTATATATATGCCACAAGCCTTTCATAATAGTTTAATTGGTAAAAAGGATCATAGTGGTAAACACATTTTGAACACTCAGCTTAGACATTTAAGCCAGGAATTGCCAATTTCTGATGTGTATCATGATCGAAATGTAGGCTTAGGTTTAGCACCATCACTTTCAAAGATTCTGGCTACTGATAATATTAATGTTTTAAATGAAGATAACTCTTCTGAAACTGGTCATAGTATAGCCATGAATCTAAATAGCAATCTGAAACATATCCCACCATGTCAGAAACCTCCCTTGCCTCCTAAACATCCACCAATACCATATAGTCATTCCCATACGAACCATAGGAATTCAGCAAATGAAAATTGTCCGAAAGATGAAAGTTTTAAGAAAACGGTTTCAGGTATAAATTCTATAAATTGTGGTGTTCGTGATCAGGGAGATGGAGGTTCATTTACCGATCTGAGTTGCCCCAGTCAAAACCAGGATTTATTTCCTCCATCTTTAAAGGTGTTTTCTTCCTTTTTGAACAGCATTGAAAATAATCAGTTACCAAAATGTCATAATAGAGATAATGGTAAAAAGTCAAAGTCTGAGATTCTGCAAACTGAAAATTTACCTGCATTTAAAAACAAAGTTGTCAGCTCTGTAGATTCATCTCCTACTATGGATGAGAGTGTTCATAAACTAGACTGTAGCAAAAACTTTTCTCATTTTAATAGTGGTTTTGAGTCTAAAGACCCTTCTCTTGTTTCTTCTAATGATTCGCTAAGCTTGCAGAAGGACGGCTGGACTTTAGACACTAATAGAAACCTATTTACAAACTCCACCACATCAGATACAGAAGGAAGTGATGTAGATAGTTCTCCAAAAAATATATCCACTGTTAAAAGAAATCCTAAGCATGTATTATCGCCTCGTTGCAAAGTTCCTGAAAGCCCTGCATGCAAACCATCTACTTGTTAACCGTGCACCATTTTGTTACATAACATTAAAATATAAGGTTGTTTCCTCATTTATCTATAAATCATGATTGTACATAATGTGAATCTCTTTTAAAATTATTGTTTTACAATTTTTTTACAATGTAATAGTTTAAACATGTTTATATTTTTGATAAACATATGTTTTCTACAAATTTTCAATGTTATATATATTTTTATAACTTTTTTTATAAATTGTTGAAAAATTGATAACTTTCATGATTGAAAATGTTAAAAGATAAAAATTTTGCAAGATCATCCTTTATATTTATTAAACTTGTTCATAAGTTTGTTTCGTGTATTCATCTCAATTTATGACATTATTTCCTTCATTTTGCAACACTTTCAAAATATTTTTTACTACACAAATTTCACAAAAAAAAAAATAAAAAATCATCTATATAATTTTAACAGAAAAGCATTTATTAATTTTTCCCCCAGTTAAGAGTTGTAAGAGTTTAATAGATATCGTAAAAATCTTTTTATGCATTATTTAAAATTAATGTAAAATAGTAATTAAATTTTAGAACATTTCATAAATTGTTTTAATGTAAAAAATATCCATACCCATTTCTGATTGTTAGTTGTAAATTCTTTATATTTACCCTAAAAGTTGCATCTTTTTAGCTTTAGCCAAATTTTAAAATTTCTCGCTTTCTTTTCATGATTTGATAGTGTTAACACAAATTAGCTGAAATATTAAGACCTCATTCTTAGTATACTATGTGAAAGCAGCTTCTAAGTACCAAGGGTAAGATTTCAAAAGCTTTTGAGGAGCCAGTTACCAGAACACAAGCAGATTTTTTAACTCATTTAAGTTGTGAGGATTGTACTTTTGCATATGTCTACTGTTTTGAGACCTAAAAGATAATGCTCCAATATGCTATCCAAAATATTCTGAAACAATCTGTGTTGTACAATGGGGTGCATTGTAGTGTTGAAAAAGATCAGCTACGTGATGAGACTAGAGCTTTGAAAATGAACTTAACAATGCTTAAAGTATAAGAATGTAATTATGACCTGTTTAAATAACCAGAAAGGATTTTCTAGCAAAATACTGTCTAAACGACTGCATTCTTTCTACAAGCTTGTTTTAATTTCCATATTCTGACCTAAAGAAATAACACTCACTTATTCAGCTATTTAAATAATGTAGCAAACGAATTAAATGGACAACTGACTTTCTACTACTTCATCCATATACCAGTGCCAATAATTTGAATTTAGCACATTAATTATCAATATGTGTGTCACCATACCACTTGTAATGCCTTTGTTATACACACCTTGTTAAAGACTTCATTTGTTTTGACTTCATTTGTTTCATATGGAAATAGTCATACTGATCGCCAGTGTGTGACATAATTATAAATTTTTTTAGAATACTTGATTTCCTAATATGTATTAAGTACCACATTAATTGCTTTTGAAAACCCTTATAACTTAACGTTTCCACATACAGAAGTTACAAAAGTTTAAAGTATCCTTCAGAATTTCTAATTGTAAGTGCAAAATACTTAAAATACAGCAAGTAAGAAAACATATAATAAAAGTTTTATATAGTCCCCCCCCCAAAAAAAAAAAAAGATTGTGGAGCAGTGAAAATAATCTTTAGAAAACATATTCAATATTTTTATCATTATAAGAAATAGGTAGCTGTTTAATAATTTATGGATCTATGATTAAAGATTTAAATTATAAAGCAACAGTTATCCGATTTGAAAGTGTTTAAATGTTTCAACTATAATATAGAATAAAGAATTATAAAAGTATTTTAACCTTTCTAAGTTGATTTACTCCTGGAAACTTTAAACCAAAGTAAAAGTCTCAATATATTTAATTTTGTTCATTCAAATTACAAAATAACTTTAAAATTACATATAATAGTTATTAATATCAATAAAAGTAACTGAAAATCTGGAAAAGTCGGGGAATCTCATATGGTGCTTCCACCAAAAACTGATTTTTACCCCAATGTTTGAAGTGATCACTTTTCTTGATGAATTATGTATCGCATGAGTGTCATTCAGGCAGCTGGCATATAGCCAGTTTTCGCAGCTCAAACCAGAGTGTCTTTTAGAAGGGCAAAGCAAGTTTCCTACAACTTTGGTTTCCAGTAACCTTAAGAATCGCATGCGCATATGCGGTGCATGTTGAACAAAAGAAAATACATTTCTCATTCGTGTATAAAACAAAATTGGTTCAGTCTTAGTATACAGTACACACATGATTTGTTGACATTTTCATGAGCAGTAAACGAGTCATTTTGGTGTTGGCAACGATTTGAAAATTGTGGCCAAGGCTGTACCATGTACTAGAATTTTGCCACAAAATCTTTTTTTTTAATAAATGCCTTATCTGTCATTTCACAGTAAAATAAAAAAAAAAAAAAAAAAAACCAGTAACGCGGATAGACTGGAATTCTTCACTACATGAATAGACCGGAGTTTTCTTTATTTCGCAGATAGACTGAAATTTTCTTCTTCCCCCCCCCCAACCTACGCAGGTGTGGATAGACTAGAATTTTCTATTTTCTTCACCTGAAAAAGTCAGGGAATTTCATTCTTCTCTTAGAGTGGCAACCCTGTCCCAGGTTTGGTAGTCAGTGAAATTATGTGCTTTTCCGTAATTTTAGCTGCTTTATTTAAATGAATATTTATAACTGGTAATTGCATCTGTTATCAGCCGATAGATAGCATTGTAGAAAAGCTGTCGATACGGGGCACATGATATCAATCGAAAAGCGAGAGAATGTGATTAAGGTTAAGAATGTTCTGTAATGATATGTATATATTTACTGTAATAATAAAGCATCTATAAAATGCAAGAGTTATCCCGATTGAATGAAAAGTGAAAGCCCAACTTAAACCCTAGCTGTCTTAAGATTAGTAACGGAGATTAAAGATAACATTTCAGAAGCGGAATGATTGATTCAAGCACGCATTGAATGACTCGCGTACCAAGAAGGGGTAAGTTTCGTTTTTAAAGATTTGAATGCATGTGAACTGTAGAATAATTCTAACAGAATTTAGAAGTATAGAATTATGTTCATTATTTTATGGATGAGAATACAAAGAAAGCTTTAGATAAAGCAAAAACGAAACGTAAAACTTTAAGAAGGTTAACAACACAGATACTTAACAGAATATCTGAATTATTGGAACAGGATATGTAGATACAAAATCATTAGAAGAATTTTGACATGAATCTACAAGAAAAAAGCAGATCAGATATTTATGTTAGATCTAGAAATTGAGAATTTAATTCCTGAAGTATCTGATCTGGAAACAGAAGTCGAGAATACAGAGAACGTATTATCTACGCAAAATCGAAAGTCAAGAATTATCTCCAGAATTCAGATAGAAATAAGGCAGATTTGTCGTTGAAGAATAATTCTTCACTTATTTCAAATAGTGAACCAGACAAACCAAGAATAAATTTGCCGAAACTTCATGTACAACCGTTTGAGTGTAATTTAGAGAAATTTCAAGAATTTTGGTCACAGTTTGATAATGCTATTCACAGTAACGAACGCTTATCTAAAGTAGATAAATATAATTATCTTAAAGCTTTCTTGAAAGGACCAGCCTTAATTAGTATTCAAGGACTATTGGTATCGGAAAATAATTATGATTTAGCAGTTGAATTGCTTAAAGAAAGATACAGGAAAAAAGAAATTATTGTAAGATCTCATATTAACCATTTGTTAAATTTAAGTGCAGTAAAATCAGCTTCGTATTTGAAACAGTTAAGGGAGTTATATGATACAATAAAAACTCAAGTGCGGGGTTTACAAACTCTTGCTGTCGAACTGAATTCATATGGAAGTTTGTTGTTTCCACTACTAACCAAACTTATTCCAGATACAGCATAGAGACGATTCTTGGAATGTAACAGAATTATTAAAATTTCTTAGAAGAGAAATAGAAACGTGAGAACGAGTATTTTTGTTTCGACAAACAAGGGAAAATAATGAATCAGTTAAAAGCATAGACTATAAACTGTCAGTTAATAAATTTTCGGAAAAGGGGAATAGGTTTTAGAAGTTTAAAGGTAAGCAGCAAGATTCGGTTCCTAACGCAATCGCAGTGAGTAGATTTCAGAAAATTTTCATTTTTTGCAATAATTCTGAGCACAGTTCGAAAATTGTGATAAGGAACGCGAACAGAGACTAGAAAATTTGAAACGGAACGGGAGATGTTTTTTATGTATGCAAAAAAATCATATGGTCCGTTTATGTAAATTAAAAGAGCGCTGCTTGACATGTAAGCGTAAACATTCTAGCTTGATTTGTGACGCCAAATGCCTCCCGTGTCAGACAGAGAGTCGTGAAAGAATGATGAATGACAAAATGAAAGATCAAAATAGTGTTGCGATGAATCATGATGGATTATCTGACGTTTCAACGTATTTGAAGAAAGCAATAATTAATGACAGTGAACCGATCGAATGTTTGATAGGTACTGGAAGCGCTGTCAGTCTATTAAGATTTTCGGTCTTTTCGAAATTACGATTACCAGTGCAACCGGAAACAAAAAAAATTGTTTGGAATCGGGAGCGTAAATCACGCATCTACAACGACCTTGGGAAAAGTTCATGTCTCACTTCGAATCGACAAAATCCAAACAACCGCAAATTTGTTTATTGTAAATGATGAGGTACAGCCGTATGGGAGAGATATTTTAAACGATCAAATGTTGGCTTATGGGAAAATAGGGGATTCGTCTAACATATGGTATGCTACTAAAATTTAATTCGCGCAATTGATTGCTCGAAGCTCAAATGACGGATGTGTCGGTAGAAGAGACAGCCGCGCCATCATAATTAATACGCATGCGCATAAGAAAAAACGTTCGCTCGCCTCTACCCTACACACCCCTCCTGCGAGCAACATTTTTTCAATACAAAAATGAAATACAGTCAAAAGTCGTTAATCCGGACTCGTCGGGACTTCGGCGAATCCGAATTATCGATTTTTTCCGGATTATAGATCATCAGTTTAAATCTCGTAAGATGGCATGCAGAAATTCTAAAATTAAAAATATGAAACCGTAATTTATGAAATAAAGAACAATTATGATCTAAAGGGTATCAAAATTTACAAAAAAAAAAAAAAAAAAAAAAAAAAGCTTAATATTTATTTGTTTACTTTATTAAACATTTCTCTCGATGTAAGTTGTTTAAGTTGCTTCATTTTATGTGATAATACTTTCTCTTTAATTCTATAAAAAGACATAATTTCTTGTTCAGTTACAAAGTTCCGCTGTTCAAGTCCCGTTAATTGCTGTGCCG